ACTAACCACCTAACTAACTAACTAACTAACTAACTAACTAACTAACTAACTAACTAACAACTAAACCCTTAAACCTTGAAAAGCGCCAAACCTTGAGACCCTAAACCTTTAAACCTTTTACCACCTAAACCCTTAAACCCTGAACCCTAATTAATTACGGTTTAGGGTTTCGGGTTAAGGGTTTAGGGTTTAGGGTTTAATTAGGCTTTAGGGGTTTAGGGTTGAGGCTTTAGGGTTTAGGGTTTAGGGTTTAAAATTACACCCTACCCCTGCATGGCCTCCATCTCTGCAGAAAGTGCAGTCGACACTGCCGGCACCTGCAGAAACAAGCAAGCTGCAGGGAGTTGCTTCATGCATTCGGGTTCTGCACAAACTGCACTGCTGCATGCACTCAAGGTCTGCAGCAACTTCTGCACACACACCTCTGCAAGCACTGCCAGACATGCGAAACTGCACTGTTGCCAACCTGCACAGTCTCACAGACTGAGGGTGTCTGCACCTCTCCGACTGCATCTGCAAGTGGGACTTCTCCATGGGCAGGCACCTGCAGGACATGCGACTGCACTCTGAAATCACAAGCTGCACTGCTGCCTACTTAGCTGCAAAACTCCACAACTTCTCGGGCACTGCATCTACCATGCAATTTTTCAAAAACTCCTGCATGGCTCCGGTGCTGCATGCATTCAAAAACTCCATCTGCAGGCCTTCTGCATCTTCACATCTACAGGATCGCCCTGCACTTCTGAATTGCTGCAAGCTTTCCAGCACTGCCTTCTCCAGTTGCAGGATCCTGCATCAGACTGCGGATCTCTTCAAGCCTGTCCTGCACCTGCATCTTCATTGGCATCATGCCAAAGTTCTGCAGGGACTGGTTGGTCTGCAGGCCCTGCCAGTCTGCAGCCATCGTCGATGGAAAGCAGCCTGCAAACAGCTGCACTGAATTTTGCTGCAAAGCTGCAAGGTTCTCAACTCCATTCCTGCATGCAGCATCTGTAGGGTCCTGCAGCAGGTCTCGAATGAGCTGCAATTTTGCTTCAAAGACCTGCATTCGCCAGTAGAGCTGCCGGTCTGCACCAACCATGACTGCAGCTCTAATTGCAGACTCCATCGCACTCTGCAGCCTCCTCTGCAGCCACAAGCATGACTGTGCACGGTCATACTGCACGACAGCCTGCACTATGTGCCTGGCTACATCGCTGCGGCATCCTGCACTCTTGTCTTGACGCCTTTCTGCAGCCGAAACTGCATCGGAGTAGTGGTAGACTGCATGCTCCACTTTCTCCACAGCTTCCACGACCCTGTCTGCAGCCTTCTTCACTGCAGCCACCATGGCTGCAGAGGCTGCACCAACTACAATCACAGCTGCAGCAAACATCCTGTCTGCACGATCGCTGCAATCTTCAAGGGGATGCTACTCTGCAAAAGGCTGCAAGCTCCAGGCAAACACATCTCTGCACACACCTCTGCAAACACTGCAAACTAATTGCTCTGCACACACCTCTGCAAGAACTGCGACCTACTTTCCTAGGCTGCACAGAACCACACCACTGCAAAGTCTCAACCTGCACCCTGGCGCCTCTGCTGCTCCTTCTGCACCCTCATCTGGAACTCCGTCGGGAACTTCAACCTGCATCGCTTGCTGCTGCAAAGCCACCTAATTACACTGCTCTGCAACCAACTACAAACTGCAAACTTCCTGCACTCAACACTTCTGCTGCAAACACACCCCTGCATATGCACTCCTACCTGCAAACGACCGGCCTACAGCTCTGCAAACAAACATGCGAAACTGCACTGCTGCCAACCTGCACAGTCTCACGGGCTAAGGGTCTCTGCACCTCTCCGAGTGCAGCTGCAAGTGGAACTTCTGCATGGGCAGGCACCTGCAGGACATGCGACTGCACTCTGAAATCACAAGCTGCACTGCTGCCTACTTAGCTGCAAAACTCCACAACTTCTCGGGCACTGCATCTACCACTGCAATTTTTCAAAAACTCCTGCATGCGACCAGTCTGCATGGTACCAAAAAATCTCAAATCGCTGCACTCGGCGGCTCTTCACAGCATGCTCTGCACCTTTTGCACAGCTGCACGAAGCTGCTCACTGCTGCCTGCACTGGAGCCTGCATTGCAGAGTGTCTGGACCTCCTGCACTCGGTCCTCTATCTGCATTAGCAGGGGCTTCAAGCCGAAAACCTGCATGCCATCACCCACTGCAAGCTGCTGCCACTCTGCAATCCTGGTCTGCGGGCATGCAGCAGGGTGCATCTGGATCCGCCCTGCAGTCACCTTGGCAAAGATCTCGCAGCCATTCTTCAGGCGTGCATTCTGCACATCCACCAGCCAATCTCTGCATAAGCAGAGCTTGGCCTCCAGCACACTGCATTTCCACCACAGCTCCTTGTCTGCAACACCCTGCAGAACCGCCGCACGGATGGCACTCTCCATCGCTGCCTGCAGCTGTCTCTGCAGGTACAGTCCAGGATTGCAGTTGCCCTGCTCGCTGCACTGCTGGAAGGCCTGCATGATCTTCCTCGACACATCATTCTGCAAGCCGGCTGCACGGTCCTGCCTGTATTCTCCAGCCTGGACCTTGTCTGCATAGAACCACACTGCACTTTCAACGTCTGAAAGTTTCTGCACCACTCTGCGAGCTGCATAGGCAGCAGAAGCTGCAAAGGCTGCAGACATGGCACACAGTGCTGCACTCAGCATCATGCTACTTCAGGAAAGCTACAAAAGACTGCAAGGGCTCCTATCCTGCACTGGGCCTGCAAGCTCAGGACAAACACATCTTTGCACACACATCTGCAAGAACTGCAAACTACTTTCCTAAACTGCACAGAAACACACCACTGCAAAGTCTCACCCTGC